AAGGGGTTTGTCGTGTTGGAGGGGGCTCAGGGCTGGGGCAGGGGGTTGGGGTGTAGGGGTGCAGGCTCTAGGATGGGGGCTGGGGATGAGGGATTTGGGGTGCCGGAGGGGGCTCTGGACTGGAGCCGAGGGGTTTGTCGTGTTGGACGGAGCTGCGGGAGGAGGTTTGGGGTGCAGGCTCCGGGTGACACTTACCTCAGGCGGCTCCCAGAAGTGGACAGCATGTCCCTGCGGCTCCTAGGCGCAGGGGCAACCAGGGAGGTTCCACACGCTGCCGTTGCCCCCGCCCCGGCAGCTCCCATTGGCTGTGGTTCCTGGCCAATGGGAGCTGTGGAGCCAGTGCTCGGGGTGGGGGCAGCTCACGGAGCCTCCCTGCCCACCCTTGCATCTAGGGCCCTCAGGGACACGCTGGACGCTTCCGGGAACCATGGGGAATCAGGGCAGGCAGGGAGCCTGCCTGAGCCTCGCTGCGCCGCCAACTGGACTTTTAACAGCCCAGTCAGCAGTGCTGACCGAAGCCACCAGGGTCCCTTTTTGACCGGGCGTTCCAGTCAAAAACTGGACACCTGGGAACCCTTGACTCTATTGGGCTGGGGCATGGGATGAGGTGGCAAAGCCTGGCCCTTTTAGGCCATGCTGGGCTGTGGCCCCTGGTGTCGCTCAAAGGTGGGTCCCCAGTTCTATGAGTTGTCCTGACCTGGTGGTAGAAGTGGGGACCATCCCCAGATCTCTCCCTTCCCGAGGGGTGGGCACTGTTTGTCCGAGTGGCTCTTGGACATCACACCTGTGCTGCTTCCTGATTAGGGTGACCCGACAGCAAATGTGAAAAATCTGGACGGGGTGGGAGGTAATAGGTGCCTATATAAGAAAAAGTCCCAAATATTGGGACTGTCCCTATAAAATCAGGACATCTGGTCACCCTATTCCTGATGCTCTTTGGGGCTCTCCCCTGGGCTCCCTGTTATTGGGGTGTTGTCAGGAGAGAGTGGCTCTGTCCCAGTCTCTCCTCTGTGCCGCAGGCAGTGCAGTCACTCCTCTGGCCTCAGATGGGGCTTCATGCCCCTCTTCAGGTTTGTGGTCACTAACTGAGCTTGGTCAGGGTCTGCCTTAGTATTGAGGTGAGGTATCTCCTTGGCCTCACGTAGTAGGTCTCTGCAGAGATCTGGAGCCGGCCAGCTCGTCAGCTTGGATTGTTTCATCCCTTCCCATCCATGCAATGAAAAGCCCCTGTTCTGGCTCAGGATCTCAAATGCTTTGCAGTCAGCCCTCGTGAACCCTGCTGTGAAACACGGGATTTTTAGCATCTCCATTTTCCAATTGCAGAAATGGAAGCACACAAGTTTGCCAAGGTCACTCAGAAGCACTGACAGTTCTGAGACTAGAACCTCGGAATCCCGATGTTCTGCTTCAGTAACTAGACCACACTGCCCTAGGGAATACGCTGTCCACCTGCCAACCCATCATGTCTTTCCTAAACCAGCAGAGCCTTGTTGAATGGAAACCTGCTGAAATAATCGAATAACACGATTTTGCAGGATGCCCGGACCAGCCTGCTTCTGTCATTTCAATGTGTTGTGTATGGAGTTGGGAATAAAGACACTATTTTTGCCTGTGGTTATCTTTCCTTAGGGAGCAGGCCCAGCTAAAAGCAAATGTGATTGAGGAGGACACTGAGGAATGGCAGAAAGATTCCACCTTTGCAGGACTGGAGAGAGTGGGAGGGGTGGACCTGTCTTATGTCAAAGGAAACGACACAATCGCCTGCGCTTCTCTGGTGGTTCTCAGCTACCCAGATCTTGAGGTAATGGCCCTTGAGCGGTGGTCTCATGGTTGGGATACCTGTACTGTAAAGGCTTTGTAGAAAACCAGCCTACCCCAAAGGGCATCATGGACTGTATCTCAGCGTCACAAGGCTCCAGCCAAGTATCTGACCCGCATGTTCACCAAGAAAAGACTTTCTGCAGAGAGCATGGGGGAGGAGGAGAGAACAGGAGTGATGATCTTTGGTATTACCTAGCAAAATTAATTTGGAAATACGTAGTTCGGTCACTTCCTGCAGAGAGAAGCTGAGTCCAAGAGTTACAGAGAACTTCTGGAGGCCCGGGGAGGTGGTTCCAGGGTGTAGCAATTGCTCAGGAGTAGGTCAGAGATGATGATGTTGATAAGAAATAGCTCATCAACTGCCCTTGAAGATTTTGATTGAATTAGATAAATGTTGGAAATCAACAGTTTCACCCTCTATCCAGAAACAAACCACAGAAAGGCCATTGTTATTCAACATTTACCAGGAGAGCAAGTTAAAACAATGTGACATTCCTAGACAGATGGTGCCTTCCTTGTCAGATCCCTCTGGTAATCAGTTAATATGAGATGTGATTTACAATGGCACTTCCAAATCTGTTGTGAGTCTCCCACATTCTGCAGTCATTAGACTTTGAATTAATAAAGATTTATCAGAGTTTATGTACAGATTTCAACGAATGTAAAAAGTTGTCACTAACTAAAAACACTGACAACAAATATGGAATTGAACATTGATATCCACTGGAAATCACAGAAAGTGAGAATCAAATCCTGCCACAGTTCTTAAAGACTTGCCCATGACGGCTGTGTGAGTTAATTCACCTACTGTCCTTGGTCAGTGTCCTAACAGGCTTTCTTCTGAAATCCACTTGCTTTTCCGAATGCTGGGTGAGAAGCCCTTTGATCAGGCATTGATTATAAGTAAGGCTAAGATTTTGTCATGGATATTTTTAGTAAAAGTCACGGACAGGTCACGGGCAAAACAGAAAAATTCAGGGAAGCCATGACCTGTCCCTAACTTTTACTAAAAATATCCTTGACAAAATGGGGATCTGCGGATCCCCACACTACTTCAAGCGGGGCAGCTGCAGGGACTAGGAGCTGCCTGTAGCAGCTGGGTGTCCCCCGCTGTCCGCAGGGCTGGGAGCTCAGGGTTTCCCACCACCCATGGGGGCCAGGAGCTGCCACAGCGGCAAGGAGCTTGTCCCTGCCACCTCCGGCAGCCCGGAGCTTGGGGGTTCCCTGCCGCTGCCCGCCAGGAACTGGGGGGTACCCCACCAGCCCCAGGGCAGGGAGCTCGGTGGGTTTCCCACCGCCCCCAGCAGCTGGGAGCTCGGGGGTTCTGCTGCCGGTAACAGAGAGCTGAGGGGGTTTCCCCCATCGCCACCACCGGCGGCAGGGAGCTGCGCGGGCCACCAGAGGCGGCAGGGTACCTCACAGCTTCCTGGCCCAGCGGGTGGTGGCGGACATTGCAGCTCTCGACCACCGCAAGCTGAAGTCATGGAGGCCACTGGAAGTCACGGATTCCATGACCTCCGTGACCTAAATCGCAGACTTGATTATAAGGACAGTGATCTCCCGCTGTTGCACACTCAAATGGGGCCGAAGCACCCCTAGCCATTGGCAAAGTCCCTGTACTCATTCAGGGTAGGGTAGGCTAGGGTATATCTGGTCATTTTCCATCATCTGCCCATTACTTCTCTCCTCCCACCCCCACACTCACACTGAGGGGAGAAGTTGGCGTGAGCTAATGTGCAGCATTTGTGTTTAACTTTGGGGGAGCGGCCCAGCAGGGTTCGGGGAGAGTATTGAAGCGAGAGAGAGAGAATATAAATACTGGAGAAGAAATATCTGAGCCGGTCAGGATTAAGCCAGCTATGGCCTGGGTTCCTGGGTTCAGCACACTGATCCTAGTGCCTGCTGTGGTAAGTTGCCCCTTGCAGACATGAGTCTGTGTTCTCAGCACTGTCCTCGTTTTGTCCCAGGTGCTATATGAAGATTGCCAGATGGTAACCGTGAGTGCCCCCTACGTGGCAGGGTACTTAGCTTTTCGAGAGGCCCCTTTCCTGGTGGAAGCTGCTCAGAGACTTCAGGAGCGAGAGCCTGGGCTCAGGCCTCAGGTGCAGCATGTTCCTTTCTCTCCTGGGGAGATGTCCCTGGGGTGCTGGATGTACCTGAAAAGAAACTCTCCCTAGAGGTTGCCCTGCCCAGCACCTCTGCAGCGGGCAGGGCAGGGCAGGGTGCACCCTAACACAGCCTTGTTGTTGTGTCTGCTCCACTGTCTCTGCGGGGATGGGGAAACCGAGCCAATGGCCAGCCAGACTTCACCTTGTCTGTGAGCAGGGAAGGCAAGATGTGGGGATGACTCCCGTCCTTTCTTTACTACGGGGTTGCAGGGCACTCGGCCTGCAATAGAAAGATCAGCTCCCTACTCCCAGGGATGGTCATCAAAAGGGAGAGCGGGGCGGGTGGGGGTGAGGAGAACCTGGGTAAAGGAGCTGTGGGGGTGGGGCAAAGGATTGAAATGGAGCCTTCTCCTTCTCCTTCCTCACTCGCCACTTGTTCAGGTCAGAGGTGTGTTCACTCAGCTGGAGAGATCCATGGTGCTTGGTAACTAACACATCACCTGGTTCTTCCAGGTGCTGCTCGTAGATGGGAATGGCGTACTCCATCACAGAGGTATGAGAGAGCTCTGCCCCCCGACGGGGACCCCCCCAAGCTCCAGGAGAGAGCACTGCTCCCCCCGACAGGAACCCCAGGCCCTAGGAGAGAGCACTGCCCCCCGATGGGAACCCCAGGCCCTAAGAGAGAGCGCTGCCCCCCGACAGGGGACCCCCAGGCTCCAGGAGAGAGTCCTGCTGTTCACTAGGGTCCAGAGCTCTAGACCAGTGAAGGAGAAATTAAATAATTATCATCTAGCAATAGGCTAATTCCCCTCCCCCAGAGGCATTGATTGGGTTCTGATCCCATCTGGAGGTTCTGGAACCTCCTGCTTTGGGGTTGACAGACGGCCCCTCTGTGGCGAACTCTGTCCCTGCGGCAGTGGTCCCCATCTGCCAGTACCACCCTCTCTGCGCTTGGCTGTAGTGTTGTCACAGGCTTACAGACGTACCCGGGGCTGTCCCCTCTGACGAGGGTCACCAGAACAGGATGGAGAACCCCATTGCTGACCCCTTCCCGTTTCCTTTGACCATCTCTTGGCTTGTTCGGCAGGGTTTGGTGTGGCCTGCCACCTGGGGGTGCTGACAGGCCTGCCCTGTATTGGTGTGGCCAAAAACCTCCTGCAGGTCGATGGCCTGGCCAAGGATGAGCAGCACAAGGGGCAGGTAAGGCCAGCGCGAGCATTCCTCCCTCCTGTGCCAGTGGGGGAAATGGAGTAAGAGCCTTGGTGAGCGGGAGCTCCTAGCGGCCCCCCTCCTGGCTTCTCCCACCACGAGGAGCTGGGGAGCCACATGCTGGCTGGTGAGGGGCAGCTCCCGGTTTCTCCATCCCAGCCTTTCCCCGCAGGAAGTGCTGGCGGTATTACGGGAGCCTGTTCAGACCAAGGAGGGAAGTTCTGGAGTAGGCTCTCCCAGACCCTCCTGGAACCGATGCACTGGAGCTCTAACCAGCTGGCCCTTGGGTGCTTGCTCGTTTTAGATCCGCGACCTGCAGATGGGAGGAGACGTATTCCCTCTGAGGGGCACCTCTGGGAGAGTCCTGGGCATGGTAAGTCATGGGCAGGCTGCTTTGCATGTTGGTCACAGCCGGGCCTTCTCCATGTTCCCTAGCCTGGCTCAAATGGGAAGGAGGGAGGGGACAAAGTGTAGTGCAGCTCTCTGCAGCCCAGTGACAATAAGCCAGGAGGGCAGGATCTGAGCAGGCAGAGCTAACGCTCACCTCCCATTCCTGTCAGCCCCCGGCATGGGATCCCCTCCTGGGATGCACGGCCACTTTGTCATATGTGACAGTGGTATGTGAGCTGCCATGTCCTGGTCTATCTGCCCGTGTCCGGCGCCATTACAGCAAAGGGGCAAAGCACGGGCAGGAGTTTTTTCTGTGGCAGGTCTCCAGACTGTGAGACAGGAACCTCTGTACCTTGATGGAAAAGGCAGCTTGGGAGATGGTGGGGCTGGCTGGGTCCCCACTCAGAGCTGGCAGGAGTTGGCTGCCTCCTTCGCCTGGGTATATTCTCCACTGAGCAAGGTCCCTTGCTCTGAGCAGTGTGAAATATTGGGGATGGGGAGCACAGGGAGCCCTAGGAGACAGACCCTCCCTGTGATGCTCCCAAGCAGCGAGGAGCAGTAAAGGCCGGGGCTCTGAAATGTCTGATAACCCCCAGCTCTCCCAAGCGTCCCCAGGTGCGTGTGCAATCACTGACGTCGTGCGTTTGTTTTAAACAAGCCCCAAAGCTCTGGTCTGTCCGGTTTCCAACCCTCCAGGCCCTGCGCAGCTACAACAAGAGCACGAAGCCCATCTATGTCTCCGTGGGCCACAGGACGTGCCTGGAGTCGGCAGTGCGCCTGGTCCAGTCCTGCTGTAGGTACCGGATCCCAGAGCCCATCCGACAGGTGCGAAGGCAGGGGCAGCTAGGGGATGGGGATCCGAGCCTGTCATGGGAGACGTGGCCAGTTAGCTAGTGAAGGGGTGACAGGCAGCTGTGAATGACAGGACTGCGACGGCTGGCCTCCCTTATAGATTCATAGATTCTAGGACTGGACGGGACCTCGAGAGGTCATCGAGTCCAGTCCCCTGCCCGCATGGCAGGATCAAATACTGTCTAGACCATCCCTGATAGACATTTATCTAACCTACTCTTAAATATCTCCAGAGATGGAGATTCCACAACCTCCCTAGGCAATTTATTCCAGTGTTTAACCACCCTGACAGTTAGGAACTTTTTCCTAATGTCCAACCTAGACCTCCCTTGCTGCAGTTTAAACCCATTGCTTCTGATTCTATCCTTAGAGGCTAAGGTGAACAAGTTTTCTCCCTCCTCCTTATGACACCCTTTTAGATACCTGAAAACTGCTCTCATGTCCCCTCTCAGTCTTCCCTTTCCAAACTAAACAAACCCAATTCCTTCAGCCTTCCTCAAGAGCGGTGCCTGAGCCTGCCAGGCCGTCCCCTCCAGCTACGGGCTACAGCCGATCCTGGTGGTTCTGATCTACCTGTCTTCTTATTTATAAAACTGCTCCTTCCCTCTTTCTTTGTCCTCCTGACCTGTCCCTGACACACGGTGCATAGAAGCACCCGCAGCCCTCAGTGCGGATCCAGCCTGGTGGGGCTCTCTGCTCCTCTCTGCAGGCTGGCTCTGGGGTTAATAATGCAGAGGAGCTGGAGGTGCAGCTTTCCCAGAATGTGGAGCCGTACACAGACTGCAGTGTTCATCCTCTGGGCTATGGGGTATGCCGCACTCCGCAACGAGCTGCAGGCTGCCGGTTCCAGACGTAGCCTGTAGGTGGCAGCACTGGATCGCATTCAGTGCCTCTTGGTGCCAGCGATTTTATAATGAAATCACAGCAGGGCTGGAGAAATGAATCTCAAGAAGTGTGAAGCCGTTGGGATTTCTACCGGGAGAAGAGCTCCTTCTCCTCAGGATCACCCTGCCATTAGCAGTTCAGGCAGGCTGCCCCGCTCCAGCGGCGTCTGTAACGTCACCCTGGAACAGTGTGTGTTCCGATTGCTACGCCTCGGCCTTCGTCCCGTGTCTGCCAGCCCGGGCTCCGTTGCTTTCTGAGCAGTATTGAGAAGGCTCCTACCAAGGCCAGACACAGGCGCTACAGGCAGAAGTTGTTCGTTGGTATTGTGATATTTTCTGAAAATTGAACCGTGTGACGCTCTTTAGTTGTAGAGCGACGGCCAGCAAAGCTCAAAGCAAAACTGCCCATTGGCGTCCCCAGACCAGAGCTGATCATGGAGTTTCTGGTCCCATATCCCACCTCCTGACAGACTGGAGCAGTCTTACAGGTCATCTAGTCCCATAGCTCACTGCCGGCAGTGGCCAGCACCCGACGCTTCAGGAGACAGGCTCTCATAGATGCGCTGTGTGGCCCTTGGGGGCGTGTTAGGAGGGGAGGGAAAAGCCTTCCCCAGTGGAAACATGCCCGTAGTTCTTTTGGAAATCATTTTGACCCAGGTGCCCTGCTCCTCACAGCTGCTTTCTGTCGCCTTCAGTCCCATTCCCATGCCTCTTCTTTGGGACTGGCTGGCTAGACTCCTCCAGCCGCTCCAGCTGACCTGAGGCATTAGTTAAAGGGACAAAATTTATTTGCTGGTGACTCCTGGGGGAAGATTTGAGAACCATCTCCAAGGATTAGAAGGGTGTGAACCTAAGGAGGGAGGGGAATTATTCAGCACAGGGGTTCTTGGACTTTTTCATAGTACAGGTCATATCTTCATGGAGAGTGTGTCATAGACACTCATGGACCTCACTAGCTCGCCAGTTCCCTATCTCATGGAACCTGCCCCGCATCACACAGCCTCCCAGGGGTTATGACAACAATCACCTACAGGAAACAAGAACTTTAGTAGCAAAGGATGTAACTTCTTTTGATGTGATTTAGTGGCCTGAGGCGAGGTAGCGGAGCCAGCACCAGGCACCAGCTAGGTCTCCACAGATGCCGTAGCTGTTCCCCCGAGCAGCGTTTGGGTGGTCTAGGGAGGAGGAACGGGATAAAACTGAGCAAACACTGAACATTCAACAACATTGGGCAATCCTTTTCCTGAGATCTAGCTGACCATACAACAGGGGTTAGCGTGTGGTAGGGCTGAAAGCCGCAGCCCTTTGAGTTAAAGCTGAGCTGAGTAAAGCACTAGAAAATAGAATGTAGGGGTCCTTCCTGCACTAAGAACAGGAGGACTTGTGGCACCTTAGAGACTAACACATTTATTAGAGCATAAGCTTTCGTGGGCTACAGCCCACTTCTTCGGATGCATAGAATGGAAGATAGTAAGAAGATCTATATACATACAGAAAACATGAAAAAGTGGAAGTAGCCAGACCAACTGTAAGAGGCTAATTAATTAAGATGAGCTATTATCAGCAGGAGAAAAAAAACTTTTGTAGTGATCATCAAGATGGCGCATTTTAGACAGTTGACAAGGAGGTGTGAGGATACTTAACATGGGGAAAGAGATTCAATGTGTGTAATGACCCAGCCACTCCCAGTCTCTATTCAAACCCAAGTTAATGGTATCTAGTTTGCATATTAATTCAAGCTCAGCAATTTCTCGTTGGAGTCTGTTTTTGAAGCTTTTCTGTTGCAAAATTGCCACCTTTAAGTCGGTTACTGAGTGACCAGGGAGGTTGAAGTGTTCTCCTACTGGTTTTTGAATGTTATGATTTGTGTATTTCTCTGTGGTGAGCCTGCAGGGCGTTGAGGAGATGTGAAAGGGGAATGTCCTACAGCAGGTTTTGCCTGGGTAGTACCATATGATCACAGCTTTTCTGATGCCCAAGGTGAAGCTTCAGGGTTGTCAGCCCTTGAAGCTTTTCCTGGGTCTGAAGGTTCTGGTAGCTTCAAACATGCGCAGCTCACAGCTGAGCTCAGCTCTTCCATTCCCTCCGTCGCTGGGCCATGGTGCCATCTTATATGAAGGCAGTGGCTGTGTAGCTGCTGTGGGGACAGAAACGTGCCATCTTGCTGGAGGCACAGCTGGCCCCATCCTGCACTGGGGAACACGTGGCTAAGTTGTACAAAGTCGGTGCCAGACATCATCTCGGCCATGGACGCAGTCGTATTTGCATTTGGAACAAGAGGTGGCTTTGCTGACTGGGGACGTGTGTCTCAGATGCAGCAAGTGTAGTGAACTTTCAGAGGAAGCAGAGGGAAATTCATTGTCTGCTACAATAAATATTTACATCCTGCTTGGACCTCATTCCGCAAGTAAATACCAGGCCGGGGCATGAGAACTCTGTGTGCGCAGAGGTAGCACTCTGTCTCCTCTGGCAGGCTCATGAATATTTGAAGTTCCTCTGCGGAGGTTTGATCCCAGCCAGAGGGACCTCCCAGGTGCAACCCAAACAAAAGAACCCAGGTGAACATGAACCAGCCTCCCACTGCCACAGGCGAAACACCCAACCTACAGCTACTGGTGGCATGGCACTAAATCTGCCTGAGCGGCCCCTGGTGTCCCCAACGAGAGCTCCTCGTGACCTGTCTGTGGGTGCAAGAATGCCAAGCCGGTTCAGATTCCAAGCTACACCTGCACGGGGTATGGAGTGGAGCCTTTTAACAAATGAGCTCCCAGCCTTGACTCCCCGGGATGGAACAGGACCTGCACCGGAATAGGCTTTGTTCCCTCTGCTGCCTTGACTTGCTGCTTTGCTGCCCGTCAGACTCCTGGTCACTACATGACCCTTTTCACTCCAGCCGGCAGAACCCCCTACTCCCTGAGACCTGACGCTCCTTCCCCCTCCACCAGCACGCTGTGCCCACATGTGCCACTGCTGCCCATTCACAAAAGAGACAAGGTAGAAATTCCAGACCCCTAATGCCAGCACTAGTCTCCTCCGAAAATAGAAGGGATTATTACGGCACAATGATCCATCTTATTGATTAGCCTCTTGGTTAATAAGCTGGGCTAAGCTGTCTCTCAGCACAGCATTAGGAGTGAGGGCTGGCAAGTAACTTGCTGCCTAATCAAGCCTTAGCTGTGTTATTAGGCGAACTTGGTTTGGGGTTTTTTCCTCCTGCAGAAGAACAGTAAGTGAATGAGGCTTTTGCTACTTGGGCTCCCAGCAGGCATTTTATCAAGCAGTCTGTTTCCCTTGTTATGAAATTCATCACGTAATGTCTTATCCTGAAGAGTGATCAGAGTTATTTGTCAACCGAGTTATGAAACTGTCCAATTATGAACAGGGGAAAAAATTCCTCCAAACAAACTGCTCCTTATGTAACCGTGTTTCATTGTCTGGCATGTGGAGTCGGTGAGTGGCTCTTAAGCAGCATCTCCAGCACAGAACTCGCAGGGAGGCGTGAAGCGAGCTAGTGGGGAGTTTGGTGCAGGAATTCACACGACCAGCACAAACATGTGAATTACATCCAGGGCAGCCCCGGGGAGTTTTATTAATCCACCTCCCTAGTCCTGGCCTTGTACGTTTATCTAGTTCCTTTCAGCTGGAAGGAGCCCAAACTCCTTCGCGGGGGGGGGGGTGGTATCATGAAGCCATCTCTGGAGCTGTTCTGAGCTACCACCATGCAGTGAGGTTTTTAAGTGAAGACTGACTTTCCCAAAGGAAGCTTTGGGGAGAATTTAGCCCAGAACTCCCACCATTACTCTTGTTGAGGTGGCTGTGGCTTCTTTGATGACCACAAAGGGTTGTATCTCCCTGGAAAGATGGTCCCTTGCGCAGCACATTCTACAGTTCTCTCTGTTTTCTTTGGAGGCCTCCCAGCCAAGTACTGAGCAGGCCCTGTCCTGCTTAGCTGAGGAGATTTGACAAAGCTGTTTTCCTCTGTGAATCACACACCTGAGAACGAGCTGTACTCTGGGAAATGAAGCTATCTGACTAAGAGTTTGCTTCCACCAGAATTGCTCCTTAAGGATTTCACATGTCACATGGAGGACCCTTGGTCCATGACCGTTGGCTTGCTGGAGGTCACCGAGTCAGTGTCTGTAGTTTGGGGCTTTTCCCCATGGAATGTTGAATGCCCGATTTAAATAACGGAGTTGTTGGCCTGTGTTCTGATTCTGGGGCTTTCCCTTTGGTGTGCCTGGGAACCCTAAGGAAAAAGAGAATAACGGTATCTAGCCTGTTTGGTGAAGAGGGGGGCTTGCTTACAGCTTGTCTCAGTGTTCTGAGCAGGGAGGTGCAGGCAGGATGGTTGTGTCCATTAGAACAGTACCTGTGAGAACACAGGCAGGGGCCACTGGCCTTCTGATCCCCACTCCCTTGTACAGCCCACCTTGTCCTCTAAATAAATAAATAAATAAATATATGGAGATATCCCATCTCCTAGAACTGGAAGGGACCTTGAAAGGTCATCGAGTCCATCCCCCTGCCTTCACTAGCAGGACCAACTACTGATTTTTGCCCCAGATCCCTAAGTGGCCCCCTCAAGGATTGAACTCACAACCCTGGGTTTAGCAGGCCAATGCTCAAACCACTGAGCTATCCTGGGAAATAACTCGGGCTGGTTCCCCTTCACCTCAGCAATTGCCAGGGGTCTGGATTCACTCTGCAGGTCAGCATCCACCTCCTGTTTTGCCCCTTGCCACCGTAAGTCGAGACTGGCCTGTCATGTCCCTGCACCACATCTGAGGGCATCAGAGCCAAGGAGGAGTGGGGGCAGATGCCCGTCGGGGGAGGGTTGAGTATGGTACGAGCTGTGCAGAGGCTCACGGGTCGCCGTGGGGGTAGGGGAGGGATGTTAATTGTATTTCTACTGGACATCCCAGGCACTCGGGTCTCTCCGAGGCCTCTGGCTGAGGCCAGCTGAACTCACCAGCGCTCCTGGACTGTGCGTCGAGAGCTGGAGGGATTTGATGGGGATTTGCTCTCCCAGCTGAGCTGCCTGGCTGTTACCCTTGTACTTTGTTGCCCCCCGTCCCCAGTGCTTGGGAAGGGCCAGGGCTGAGGTGGCCCTTGGCACTGACTGGCGTGCGCCCGCTGCCTACTCTGTGCCTTGCCGTCTTCCGTTGTGGTAAATGCAGAATTGGGGAACTGAGCTTTGGGAAATCTCATTTCTGTTTCCAAAATCAACCGCGCTGCAGCGAAGGCTGCCTGGGCCGAGACCCTTCTCCTCCATTTTGGGTCTTTGTCTTCTCAGCCCAGGTGCAGTTGAGGCAGAGGGCCTGAATGGAGCGGGATAAGGTCAGGGAGGCAGGTGGGTCCCTCCGTGTGTGGGAGCCGTACCCGGGACTGCCGGCCATATGCTGCAGATAGCTTGGGGCTGAGCCTTCACGCCCCGCTCACTTGCAGAGAGGATGAACGCTGCGCTTAGCGCACCAGGGCCCTGCAGAGCGACTCCCCCTCCTGGCCTGTGCAGCTGCCTGGGAGCATCTGCCTGGCACAGTTCTTTAGAGGGCGCGGGGCGGTCTGACCAATCAAGTCTTGAGTCTTCGCTAATCCATCTCCTCCCCAATTCCAGGCTGACATCAGATCCAGAGAGTACATCCGGAAGCACCTGTCCTCCCCACTGGGGGGCACGTCTCCTGGGCCAGGGAGGTAGGTGTGTGGGTGGTCTAAGCAACCGCACGTCCAGAGGGGATCTGCTCTTGTAATGCTCTTGGGTAATTGCATTAAAGGGACAGTCGGGGTAACAAGGCGGGATAAAGGGCAGCAGGGCGCATGCTGCCCCCGCGGAGCAGGAGATTTCTGATGGGTGCCGTCTGTGCTGCACCATGTGTTCCCGCCGAAGGGGCAGCGTCCTGGGCTGGCTGCACCATGAGACTGCGGAAGGTCACTGGGGATTTTGTCTGTTTCCGGTGTACATGATAAGCAAAGTGCTAAGGCCCCTGTGTGTGATGTGAGGGTGGACAAAAATATCCTGCAAGGAGCTGGCCTCTGTGCCTTAATGCATAAAGAAAGGGCCAGACCACCAGGCTGGATTCTGCCCTGGTATGTTGGTGTAAATCCAGAGAAACCCCTCTGGGGTCTCTGGGATTTCACCGGTGTCAATCCGGAATAAGTGAGATTCTCTCAATCATTCTCTTTATATCAACCCCCTGTCCCTCCAGGCCCTTTTTATTTAAATGTAGAGGCAACGTGTTCAGCACAGTTCCTGGCAGCTCATAGCTGGATTCTCTCAGTCCTACAGTCACCTGCGCAAACAAGGGGCTGGAGAGATACAGAACAATAAAACTGAATGAAGATTAGCCTGGTTAGTGATGGGCAAATTGCTCCCAGTCTGATCTGCCCTAGAGGGGAGCAGAGCAGAGCAGAGCTGGGTGTGGCGTGGAGGTTGATGCTGGTTAATGTGAGGCTCCGATACTGCTGATTGGAGGCAGCAGGTGTGATGGGGGGAGGCGATGTTCAGAACTCGCAGGAACAACTCCAGCTATGCACCGCAGCCTGCTCCGCTGCCTGGCACCTCTGCACAGCTCTGCAATGCACCATACCAGCACTGCCTGCTAGAGATCCCCACACCACGGCTTGGCTGACGCCCCTCAATCCCGACTTGCAGCACCTTCCTGCTGGGCCAGTCCTGGGCAGATGCTGACAGTCCCATTGAATGCATGCCCTGAGTTGAGACCCCAGACTCATGGCATGAGATATCAGCACCAGTGTCTGAAGCTGGTGCCCCAGAGTTCCTGTATCTCCAGCTCCAGTTCCCAGAGTAGCAGGGAGTTACCTAGGTTGGTTTGGCTTTTTTTATTCTTCGTGACCTTTCCTTGTTCTTGTTCCAGGAAGGAAGAGGCTGAGCCCAAGCATTGATTTGGCCCCAGGAAGACACTGCCCAGCCCCAGTGTGAACTTGAGCCTTCCACCCCTCTGGGATCAGAGCTCCGAGAAGTCTCTCCAGGGCACCGTGACTGACCGTCCACGCCAGGAACTCAGGGTACTTCATGGGGTGAAAAGCCAGGATGACCAGAGATAAGCCAGGAGACGGCTTCCCCCTGGGCTCTGCTAATGGGGCAGGAACCCCAGTCTTTGATGGTTTGTAAATTCTAGAGAATATTTTATATTCCAATGTTGAAAACACACGCTGTAAAAATAAATTCTCCCCAGCACTGGTACACTCCCAAAGCAGTGTTTGGGAGTCAAGAGAGGGATTATTTGCGGCAAGACTGTGAGAATTCACTTTGGGGGGTTCTTAACAAACGAGTGAAAAACAACGTGAAGCTCCCAGTTTGACACTGGCTTCTTGCCATCCCTTTAGCGACACAGTCTCATGGACTCCCTGCTCCCCATCCTCCTTTTACCCTTTCCTCCCCCTCCTGCAGCCTGTGGGATTGTGTCACTTCACACATCTCAAGGGAACAGAAGCCCAATAACTCGCTGCTGCTAGTCCTGACAGACGGGCAGAGGACTCTGTGTTTTGGGTGGGCGTGTAACTCGCAAGGGAGGTGCGGGAGCCAACAATCTGCTGCATGGTTTGGAGGAGGGGAGCTGCTAGGCTCTAAGGCCTGAATTCGAATCCCTGGGAAGCAAACGGGCTCCCTGGTACACCAGTCATGCAGTCCTTGGTCCGTCAGGTCTCAATGGCTGCGGCTCTGCCTGCTGTCAGTTACCGAACCCTATGCAAGAAATCAGTCCTCTGTGTAAACGGTGCTGCAGGTTTGTCAGTCCCCATGGGACCTGCATGGTAAGCCCGGCTGGGAGCAGCATCCACACAGCATGGCATGTTGATTCACCTTGTTCCAGCGACCCTCCTCACAGCCAATGGCACAGGCCAACCCTTCACAAAGAACCGAACAGAAGTGGCATTCCATAGCAAGGAGCCAGGTAACACCCGGGCAAGGGGTCCGATAGCCTGAAGGAGTAGGGGCATTGGGGTCAGGGTACCGGGACAGCTGCTTGCTGGCTAACGAGCTTGGACAGACACCAAGCAGCCTGGGAACCTTCACATTGGCTACCAAACAAAGTCCGGTGGGTGGAGTTGGGAGCCTCTCCCTGTAGGGCTGGGTTCAGGGGTTGGATTCAGCCGTTTGGTGGGATCCACAAAGTCCCATGTTTAGGCACTACTGGAATTCACAGACTCCCCCACAGCCGCCGCCAAACATTGCAGGTGCCTCAGCTCGCTCAGCGCAGAAGGTTTTGCAGGAAAAGTTCCCTTGTTGCCTGTTTCTGCCGCTAAACAGGCTGCACCCATCTCTGGAGGCACCCGCCTCTCACCTGAGCCCCAGAGTGGGTCAGGAACCAGGGGGAGATGGCTGGCTGGCTGCTGCCCAAGTCACAGACAAGGCCTGATCTGGTCAGTGTGCTCAGAGGCTGTCTGACTCCACAAAGCAACCTCCTCTATAACCTTTAGCCTAGTGGTTAGGCACTCCCTGAGATGAAGGAGATCCCCAATTCAGGTCCCCATCAGTGTTGTTCCTCTCATGCAAAGCTGTCTTCAGGAAATGTCCCCACAGGTGTTTTTACATCCCAGGGAAGGAAGTGGGAGTTCTCTAGTGGTTGTGGGGTCAGAACTCCTGGGTTCTGTTCCACGCTTGGCAGTGCACGTTTACCCTGCTATCGTTCTTTGTCGTTCTTTTCTCTCTCCAGCCGGGCTGCTTTAATAAAGCACAATCCAGCCTCTTCTCTGGGTGAGTGCAGCACCCAGCACGTGGGGCCCTGGCTTACTTACCCTGTTAGCGCTGCCCCATTAAGACGAGAGAGAGCAAACTCCTTTCTTCTCGCCAGGAGCCTGGGCTAGGGTGACCAGACGTCCCATTTTTAAAGGGACGGTCCCATATTTAGGCCCTCATGCAGGGGTCCTGACTTTTTCTTTAAAACTGGCAAATTGTCCCATATTTCCCCCCCACCCCCATCAGTACTGGTGGGTCCTGCTGCTGGCCGGATCCCTGCTCACCCACCTCCTGCCCACCGGCAATGAGTGGGGGGTCCAGTGGCCGACGATGGGGGTGGGTGTGCAAGGCTGGTGGTGGGGCAAAGCTGCAGCATATGGGGATGGGACGCTCCTGCTGCTGGTGCATGCCAGCCCCCCCTTCCCCCTCCCACCCTTCAGAGCCAGGCTGGACTCCTTTGATCATGGTGACATGTGTGGGCACTGACAGAGAAGGAAAGAGGGTGGCATTTGATTTCGTGTCTGAGCCCATCACAAGGGGGTGGGTGGGGGAGGCACCAGGCAGAGCGCTGGCTGCAGGCTGTGCAAGTCCTCCCAAGCCACGCATGCAGCTCCACTCCTCATCCGACAAGTGCAGTACCAGCTCTAACACCGCCATGTCCCCAGGGAACAGCCCCCCGGACAGCTCCTCCTGAAAGCCCAGAACCAGTGCTGAATGCCAGCTTGAGAAGCCAATGAAACGGCTGAACAAACACGCCACCACTCGCCTCCCCCGCTGCCGCCTCCTCGCTGATCCTCCACTGAACAAACTGTGAAAAGACCCAGAGCTGTCAGGGGTCCAAGAGCTAACGGCCTTGCAGCCGGCAGGGCCACCTGTGCTCCTCTAATGCCAGCCAAAGCCATTGCTCAGATCTCACAGGTGTGGAGGGGGGGCGGAGGGGGTGGAGAACTTGACAGTGACTCATCATCGGAGTGGCTGGGGAGGGGAGTGGCTGCAGCTCACACACAGTTACAAGGGAGGATTATTATGAGTGTAATTGGCATCGGTGGAGATCCCTGTGCAACGGCAAAGTCAATCGAGCTTAACTAGCGAGTGCCAGCTGTGCACAGCTGTTGGCATGCCAGGGCTGCCAGATGGGGAGCTCACCCCATGGGCTAGATCCAGCCAACTACCCACCCACCTTCTTCTCTTGGTGCCCATCGCTCTGAAATCTGAGTGCCTCTCCGCAAGGTGCATCAGACCTGTTTGAAGGAAAGTCTACAGCACAGCAAAGAAAGGGGCTGGTTGGTTTCACTGCCCTGCTCTGCTTTAGGCCCTGGACTGAAGATGGGAAGGGCTGGAGAAGAGTGAGGCATTGTTCAGGCCTCCCTGTGTACACTGGGTTGACAGCTCTGAAGCAGGAAGCAACCAGCTCTTGACACCCTCCCAAGTCTGACTGTGTCCTGGGCATTTAGCAGAAGGTGAGCAGTGAGGGCGTTTCTCAGGTCCCCTCCTTGCATTTCTCATGGGAGTTGCACTGTGCTGCCCTTGCACCATCTCGTCATGGACGCAGCCATGGGGGCATTTCAGCCCCAGTACGATACTTGCAATAGACACTCTAGGTTTCCAGTGTCCAACTGCACGTGCACAAAGCTGGTCCCCTCGCAAAGTCCGGGGAGTCCTGGCGGCAGAGCCCAATATTCAGCATACAACTTTCTCCCCTCACCTGCCACAAACTCCTGGCTGGGGCTGGAGTGGCTGCTTCCCTGCAGAAGGGAACAGGTGAGGCACCTACAACTGGTGTTGAGGGGGGCATGGGCACAGGGAATCCAGGGAAGAGTCAATGGCCAGTAGCCTGTTAAGGAGGATGAGCTGGGAGCCCTCCCACATGCCTCAGCCGGGGATGCAGCTAAGGGGAGCTGTATGGCTTCCCTGGGGGCTCTTGGCATAGAGCAGCCTGCACTCCACACCTGGGGGTTGGCGCGAGGAACCAGTCAGCAGGCATGTTTCCCGCTGCGCCTGGGGAGGTGGGGCCCCTGCTGCCGGCAGGTTTGGAAACACCTTCTGAGATGGGCCTGGCACACCCGGGGTGAGAGGTGGTCGTGCTGCTGAAGGGGGTGACCTGTCATGCTGCAGCACCCAGGCTGTGGAGCTCCGTTTCCCAGGGGCAGTTCCAGACGTACTATCACGCACACCCCTGGGAGTCAGAGCTTAATTCAGGTGGGTCACTAACGAGCAAGATTCACTGGCTTCAGATTTGGAGCAATGACCTAGCTGGGCCACTTAGGGGGATTCTCAAAAGTGCCTAATGGTTGTAGGAACACACATCCCATTCAAAGTCAATGGGACATGTGCCCCTAAACCCCTTAGGCAGGATACTAATGGAGTTTACTTTGGCCCTCATTTGCTAGTTCCCCCTGGGCCAGCCCCGCCAGCACGCTGAGCTTTTCCTCACTCAGGAACCACAGTGTGTGAGATCCCAGGTGCTTCTCCCCAGCTCTGCTTTATCCCAGCATTTCATTGTACAGTGATCTCCATGGTGATTATTCTCTTCACTTGGACCTGCTATGCAGGAGCCAGAGAACCCCAGGAGAGAAACCAGAGTCACTCAGGGTGAGCCAGGTGCACTGGGTGGGGGGAGGAGGACCCTGGAAATAGCCCCTGTAGGTTAGTACTGTGATTGCAACAGCTGGGCCCCTCCCTGTAAATCACCCCTTGGAAAGGTGCTTTGCTGCCTATCAGATGGCGGAACCGCAGCTGTCCCCGGCCTGACTACGCAAGAGGAACGAGTGAGTGTCTGAAAGCTGCAGGAGTTCGGGGTCTCCCAGCACCTGCAATGTAACCCCCCCCACCCCGGGACGGGGAACAGGCCCTGCAGGGAGAGGACACGTGACCTGCTCCTAGGCATTGTGATGGGCTTGCTGGGGAATCCAGCCTCAGGGAATGGAACTGGCCTCAGCTGGAGCTAATGTCTCAGCTGGGCAGGACTGTGAAAATCCCTCTGCTCTGGGAGTCTTTCCTCAGCTGGGTTCATCCCCAGCATCACACGAGGGCCTGCTGAGTCCCTCAGCTGGGTCCCAGGCTAATGAACCCTGGGCTGCTGCGGGCCAGCTGCATTGCTCTGGAGTCAGGTGGGGGAGCTAAGGTCTCTGTGCTGATGTGCTCAGAGCTGTGAGACTGCTCCCTGAAAGGGAACTGCCCCTTCACCACTTGCCCCCAGCTCCCTGCTATCTTGGGTGCAGCTGAATTCAGGTGAGGTTTGGTTAACGCCCCCTCTCTAAGATTGGATTGAGTTGGATCCCCAGCCTTGTCCCTTGGGCTGAGATGCTGCAGTTGTCTCTGAAGCGCTAACCGTGTAAGTGCCTCCCCCGCCCCGTAACTGTGTTGGGGCAGTTCGGTTCTGTACCTGTGCTGGGCACTAGTTCTTTCCGCTGCCAAAGCCTGAGAGAGGTTAAATTAATCAGATCCTCAGGGGGGAAATCTCTGTGTTTGGCCACTGCTTCTGGCCCTCTGAACGCAGTGGGAGATTAGCCAGGTCTTTGTCTAATTGGTTTATAAACTAGG